GTATTAAAAGATATCATTAACTGGACCAGCAGATGGCATATTGGTTACTTCTCTGGATTCCCACATAGTCTATTGTTCAAGTTCTGGACCTGGTGGTTTAAAACTCACGCTGGTTGCATGTGCATGTGTGCCCCAAATCCCAAGAGAAGAATGGAGGAGAAGGGATTGTGGCATGGCTATCCTCCTAGAGGGTGATTTCTTGCTTTCTCTCTGTCTCTCCAGCAAGTGCATGCAGCCTATAGCAAAAATCTCTCTCAAAGGAATTAAAAAAAAAAAAAAAAAAATACCATTAAGCAAGTTTAAAGGCAAGCTACTGAGTGGGAGAATATATTTGCAATCTCAGAATATAGCATAAATGTCTTAAATTCAACCAGGAAAACAGTTCACCCATTAGAAAAACAAATCAAAGATTTAAATGGCATTTCACAAAAGAGAATATTTAAAATGGTCAAAAAACAGGAAAAGGTGCTTAGCATTATTACTTATTAGGTACATGGAAATTAAAACCATGAGGAGATATTACTACATAGTCACTGCATAGAGTGTTGACAACAGCGTTGAACATTGGTGAACTCACGTTCTGCCTTTGGGAGAGTAAACTGGAATAATCGCTTCAGGAAGTTGTTTGGCATTATCCACTAGAACCAATTGATGCAGACCTTATGAGTCATCAGTTCCACCCAATGTGTACCCATCAGAAGTGCATACACCAAAAAGACCTTTATGAGAATGTTTATAGCCATACAGTTTATAATGGCAAATACTGAAAGCCCTAATATTCATTTAACAGAAGGCATAGAAATACTGTGGAATACTCATAACGTAAAATAGTACACATCAATAAGAATGAGCAAAACCAAGATTCTTTGAGACAAGAATGAGTCTCACAAACTCAATGTTGAGCAAAATTCAAACATAAAAGGACTATACGTGTAGTTATATTTCTTTAAGCTTAAACAGGCAAAACTAATCTCTGCTATTAGAAGTCAGGATTTTGGTTATTGGTAATTGGCCATTCAGAAGTTCTCACTCTTCAGTGCACCATATTAATTGAAACTTGCACATATCAGAACTGTGTCCTTATTTTGATTTTTATGTTTTCACATAACTGTATAGTGAAGACACCAATACTAATGTGCACGAATTTCTGTTAACACAGCACCATGCAATGTGAGGAGTGCTTGTATTCTGTTGCTTGACCTGAGTTCTGGTTGCATGGATATATTAACTTTATGAAAAATTGTTTAACTGTATATTTATAATTGATTCAGTCTCCTTTTTTATTTTTTTTTTTTGAGAGATTTTTTGCTATAGGGCGCGTGCTCTCGCCAGAAAGACAGAGAGACAGAAAGTAAGAAATCACCTCCAAGGGGGGATGGCCCCTCTACAATCCCTTCTCCTCCATTCTCCTCTCAGGATCTTGGGCACGTACGCACACATGCCCGGCGTGAGTTTAAGCCACCAGGTCCAGGACTTGAACCACAGTCAGCTACATGAGAGTTCAGTGACATAGCCATTACGCTAACTGCTGGTTCCCAGTCTTCTTGTATTTATGTAGTACTTGAATAAAAAAAAAAAAATACTGATTATCTTCCTCTATCTACTCATTCTCACCATTCTATGTCTCTTTCATAGCATGTTTTTATTTTTAACGTCTCTTTCTTATTCCCCTGTCTCCTCCTATAACTCTACAACCTATCTTATGGAGAAGGATCATGAATTGTTCATCTTTATATTACCTACTGTTCTTAACATGACCACTTGTACATAATAAGTAGTTAGTGCTAAAATGAATTAAGTAGACTTTAAACTTCAGAGTGTGAGCCATATTTATAAATTACTTTTTGTTATCTACTTATTGGCTTTCTTGAATTCTTGGAACCAGAAGCATTTCAGATTTTTTTTCAGAACTTGAAATATTTGCATATAATGAGATCTTTTAGAGATTGGACCCAAATCTAAACACGAAATTCATTTATGTTTAATAAGCACCTTGTCATATAGCCTGAAGGTAATTTTATACTGTATTTTCGTATTGCAGCATTTTGACTATGATCTATTACAATGAAGTCAAGTATAGAATTTTCTTTTTGTGGTGTCATATGGTGGTCCAAAAGTTTTAAATTTTGGAGCATTTTGGATTTCAGATTTCTAGATTAGGGATGTTCAGCCTGTGTATGTGATGATACATACACAGGTTTTTCCCTTCAAAACTAGAACACTACAGGTACTTTTTAAAAATTATTCATGTTAGAGTATGTGTGTGTACGTGCACCCATTTGTGAGAGAGGGATAGAGAGAGGAGCACCCTCCATAGAGTCTAGTCATACAATGATCCCCTTCCTCTAATTCTCTAACCTGTTGCATCTTGGGTATTTGTGGACATGCCCAGGATATTTCAGGATGACGAAGCTGGGAATTAGTTCCACAGTTGTGGAATCCAGCTTCTCTTGAGCAGCACATTAGCAACGTGCCACGAAGCCAGTCCCAGATGCTTTAGATAATCCCTGCAAACACCTCTCCTCTCTGTCTCATTTTCTTCCCTCAACCTTATAAGTACCCTCTTTTTCTCTTTATGATAAATCCATTTTGATTCATGTAAGTGTAATTTCTTGAACCTCTTATGGGATTCTATTGTATTATTTTTTATTTACCTTATTGATAGATATGTTGTTCCTTTTTATTATTTCTATAGTAAAGACTTCAGTGAACATTCTTGTACATCTTGTGTTTAAATGTATCTCCATACCTCATACTGGATACTAACATTTCAGTCATGTTACAGGTGTTGTTGGTTGGTTAACCTTGTTTATAGTACCTTTAGTTATATTGAGTTTTAAATTTGGAATGTTGAAACATTTGTCAGTCTTTCTACTTACAGGTTTTACTCCTGGTATCTTCAATTAGCAAATGTAACATAAGCAAAAGTATGCCAGGCACTGTTTGGATTATTAGCCAGCAATACAAATCTCTGCATTTGTGCAGTTTAAGAAAGCATTATGTACCAAGATCAACAATGCAATTTTCTTGAAATAATTATTAAAGATTGTTAAAATATCTGGATTTTTAATCTATCATTTATTTCTTCATTCAGTATGTGCTGGGATCTAATTTTGTTTTGTTACTCAACACTTTTTGTTGAATAGCAGTTCTTTGTCTGTTCCATTGTACTTCTATTCTATTGTGTACCATGCTCCTGTAAATATTTGAATCTACTTCTGAGTTCTTCATACTGCTTTGTCTGTTACTGTGTCTGTAGCATACTGCTTTAACTGCTCTAGCATTACAGAGTTAAGATATGTAGCAAAACAAGCCCTTCCATCTTTTTTTCCTCTCTTTTTTTTTTTTGGTCAGATTATCTTTTTAAATTTACTCATAATAATTTTAAGATCTGGCTAAAGTCATTTCATAAATTATTCTATTAGAACATTGTTTGGAATTGCATTGAAGTTGTAGTGAATTTTAAACAATCAACATAAATTAATATGATATAAAATATTCTCATTATTTTGATTTTCTTTTATGCCCTTTAATAAAGTTAAATTTCCCTTGTGCCCTTTTGTTTTTGTTTTCGTTTTGCTTCATTCTTAGTAGGATATATTTTCTATTATATTTTCTAATTATTACTGGTGTTTGAAAAAACTACTGAATTTTTGAATGGTGATCTTCTATTTGGACTTAATGTATTCTCTCATTAGTTTTAACAATTGGTAGGTTATATGGAGTTTTTTAGGCCAGAGGTCAAATTGTCTGTAAATACTATTGTGTGTTGCTTTTTCACCTTTAACTCACTCCTACAACCTGTTGTACAGACTAACCTTTAGTCTGTATTAAAGTTTAGCAGTGATAATGAACAGCTGTATATAATGACTGACTATAATGCAGTGCTTCTGCCATTTCACCATCAAGAATAGTAGTTAATGTAGATTTCTGGTAGGCCTTTTTGTTTATTTTGTTTTAAGATTTTTGCTTTAGGTCATGTGTGCTCACCAGAAAGACAGAGAGAGACAGAGAGACAGAAAGCAAGAAATCATCCCCCACAGGGGATGGCCATGCCACAATCCCTTCTTCGTTTTGCTCTCAGAATTTTGGGCATGCATGTACACACGCCCAGCATGAGGTTTTTTTTTTTTTGTTTTTTTTTTTTTGAGAGGTTTTTGCTATAGGGCGTGTGCGCTCGCCAGACAGACAGAGAGAGACATAGAGACAGAAAGCGAGAAATCACCCCCCAGGGAGGATGGTCACACCGCAATCCCTTCTCCATTCTCCTCTCAGGATCTTGGGCACGCGCGCACATGCACCCGGCGTGAGTTTTAAGCCACCAGGTCCGGGACGCGAACCGCGGTCGACTACGTGGGAGTCCAGCAACATAGCCATTATGCTAACTGCTGGTTCCCATGCCCAGCATGAGTTATAAGCTGCCAGGTTCAGGACTCTAATCATGGTTGACTACATGGTAATCCAGCAATGTAACCATTATGCCATCTGCTGGTCCTTCTTGTAGATATTTTTACAAAATAAAAAATTCTTCATATTTTGAGTTTACCAAGATTTTTATTATTATGAATATTAAATTTTCCATATGTGTTTTAATATCAATTGAGATGCTCATTTATTCATTTTTAAGTGGTATCAATATATTTTCTACTGTAATAAAGTTTTACTTGTGGGCTAGTACATGGTATGGAGTTTAGATACTAGATCCCACATGGCCAACTTCACATATCAAGTCCTGGACCCACTGGCCAGAAAATCACGCTGGGGACATGCACATGCATGTCCAAAGTCCCTAGGGGAGAATAAAGGAGAAGGGACTGAGGCATGGCTAGCTCCCTGGGGTGTGATTTCTTACCTCCCCTCTTTCTCTCTTTCTCAGTGAGTGCACATACCCTATAACAAACAAACACAACCTATTTTAATTGTATTTAACTTTAAACCACTGTCAATTTTATCTAGAATAGTGTGAGAGTGCATTTTTAAATATATATTCTTTGTTACAGAAAGCTGTCTTCAAAGGAGATGGAGATGACATATTAGAAAACTCAATAGTTGACCAAAGGTAAGGTATTACTAGGAAAATACTATTTTCGTATATGTAGTCCTCATTAAAATAATTCTTTTATTATTAGGAATATTCATTATGGTCTGTTGTAATTAGGTCTGAATGATTTGTTACTGAATTGACAAGAAAAACCTGGTATTACAGATTCTATAAGAGTGGTTCTCAGCCAGGGATGATTTTGCCCCTCTACCCTCAGGAGGTGTTTGGCAATGTCAGGTAACTTTTTTTTGCTTGTCGTAACTGTAGAGGACAAGGCTGATACTGGCATCTAAAAGATAGAATACAGGAATGCTGTCAACATCCTAAAGTGCACAGGCAGCCCCCACCCTGACCCCATACACATGACAAAGAATTTTCAGCCTAAAATGTTGACTGCACTAAGGGCATTGACCTAGATTTTTATCAGAGCCCCTTCTCATCATGAGAACATTTTACTTTCTTGGAAGCTGTTATAAAACTTATTGGTACCTTTTTGTGGGTTCTCCTTTCTCTGTTCATCACTTTAGCATATGCAGCTAAATGAAATAGGTGGCACTTTAAGCAGTCTTCATTGAGGAAATCTTAGCCAAATACATTAGTCAATTTCTATTCCTGGTGTTTCTTCTTGTACCACTGTTGCCAAGCTTTCTAAGATTATGGAGCGAGGTCCTCTCTTTTCCAGATTTCAGTGATAATTCCCCATTGTCCTTCAGGTTTTCACTAACAGTGTCCTCAGGGCCCTACTGGTATTTGCCTACTGCCTAGTCCCATAGTCAATGCCACAAATTTGAAGTCTTTCTTACAGTAGCATCTTCATGCCAGATAACGTTTTGTTGCATGAATTTAGCATTGTGTAAGAAATCACCCCAAACATAGAGGTTTAAAGCAACAATTTATGGGGTCATTGGAAAAGTCATGACTCGTTTTTCTGTGTAAAAATGCATCATGACTTTTATGACAACCCAGTATTACCTCTCTTTGTCATGTGGCTCACCTGTGTGGTTATCTCCCAAGGACACTCAGAAGGTGGCAGTCAAATTCAGCATCTGGGGTTGCTGGTATCAGATGCATTGGACCTCCAAAATGGCTCAGTTCAAGATAACTGACAGATAGGTGGGGGAAATAGAGGAATGTTAGTCAAAGTTTCAGTTATGAGATAAGTTATGAGAATCTAACGCACAGCATGGTAACTAGAGTTAAGAATATGTGTATATTATATACTTGAAATTTCCTAAAGGGTAAGATCTTTATGTTCTCATCACACACACACACACACACACACACACACACACACACACAAATACTAATGGCAACCATGTGAGGTAATGAAGATATTAACTAAATTGTGATTGTACTGATCGTTTTACAATATATGCATATATCAGGTCATCATGTTATATACCTTAAATTCATACAATTATATCTGTCAATTAAGCCATGGTAAGGCTGAAAAACTATAGATAGCTATTGATGTTGATTGTCAGACTGGCTGGCACTGGTACTGTTACCCAGAGCAGCTGCATGTGGCATCCCCAGGTGGCTTGGGCATCTCACAACATGGCAGCTGAGTTCCAACAGGGAGTGTCCTAAGAGGATGCCTTTCAAAAGACCCATGTGAAACCTGTGAATCTGTTGGTGATTTAGCCTCAGACATGCTAGAACATCTTTCTACCTCATTCTATTGGTTGAGCCGTGCACCAAAACCAGCTTAGACTCAAGGAAGAAAATTAAACTCCTCTTGATATGAAGAGCAGTATGCACACACCATGCAGAAAGAAGGAATTATGACCATCTTTAGAGCTTACTTACCACAGTAAGAAACAGGGTATTTATATAGTCTCAGAGTCCTCTCACAGCAAGTAAAAAAACATGGCAGACTACCTTAACCAAATGATCAAGGTTAACCTCACTATAAAGTATTCAACATCACTCCTGTGTTCCTGCTTAAAAGCTATAACCTGAATGGAGAATTATCAGACAAACCTGGATGAGAAAATATGCTCTTCAAGATCTTGGGGTTGGGATCGGGTTCAGGGTCGGCAAGTGGCATGGTGGTTGGGGGCATTGGACTCCCATGTGGTTCACCATGGTTCTAGTGCCTGACCTGGCGGCTTGCTTTTTCACCTGCCCCTCACTCTGTCCCTCACTGGTCAAATTAAAATAAATAAAGTTAAATAAAATAATTCTTTTTAAAAAATGGGGTTAGGAAACACACAAAAGGTGAAGGACTATGACCAAGGAGGTGTACAGCTAAATATACAGCATGTTCCCAGATTGGATCCTTGGCAAGAAATTGTTCTTTTTTCTTTTGGTATAAAGTAAATAAAGAAATCAGAAGAGTTAAAGAAACAATAAAAAAAACCTCATTTAGGAAAAAAAGGCCAACTATTCCTACGGGTAAATTAAATTTTAAATCATAAAATTAAATCATAAAATTTTTGATGTATAATTATTTCACTTGTTACATATTTATTAAGTTAGATGACACAGAATGTGCCATATTTTAATTCTGTATTTTTTGTTAGCTTTTTAGCTCCTTTAATTACTGAGTATGATAAGCATCTGGAAGAGCTAAATGGACAGCTGAAATATTATCAGGTATGAAACCATAGTCATGAAACTTTTGTCCTACTTTATTATGAAGAGAAAGAATGAAATAGGCTCTTCTACAAGTATTGATCAGAAAGAAAACATTTAGCTTTGAATATTCTTGCCTTTAAGTGTCCACTGTGTATGTTTAAAGATTATTTTTAGTTTTGCCTTTTAATCTGACATTTCCTTATTCTTGCTATATGGCAGAATCATCTCTTAGATGCTTAGAAGAATCTCTTAATCTTGTTATGGTTTGCTTACTGTTTTTTTTTTTTATTTTACTCAAAACCATCTTATATCCTTACCCTCAGTCTCTTTACCTTCTTTCTACCTGCATTCTCCATTATTTGCAGTGTGAATTTCTTTCCCAATTTTAGATATTATGTCTATTAGATCACTTTTGTCATGTTTTCTAGGTGTCGTTGATTCATTTCTAATACAGGGTTAAGCTGTAGCAGTTTTGTTTTGTTTTTCTTGAAATCCTTCTAATAGTGTAAGTTTAAGTGTGAAAAGAGTAAACTGAGGAAGCTGTTTATACAGACACTTCATCGCTCTGAATCTCAGAGCTTCTAAGATTCAATATATGGCAGGCGCATGGGGAACTAGATAATAGCACAAAACCATTCAGGATGCAGCCTGAGTTGTGAGCTACCCAGTGTTTCTAATGTGTTCTTTGATTTGAAAAATGTCTTTTACACTTCCCCCTCCAAAATTTTAGCTTTTCTGATGCTGGGATAACCACACAACAGAAGGGTTTCTAAATACAACTCATGCCTCTTAGGCTCAGCTCACCAGGAGATGATGACCATTCTTTGTTATACCTTGAATATACTCATGATTGTACTTGGCTCAGAGACCAACCCCTGGATCATTTCAGTTGTGGAAAAGGTTGCAGAGTTGACTTAATTAATGCAAATGGAAGGAAATATAATGACTGTATAAAAAGAACCCCTGGAGAATGATTTCTTCAGAATCGAGCTGTGTACTTGGAAAACTTTCTCTCTTACTCTTTATTCTCTTCATCATGGACAAGAAGAGATCCTGGGCTGTACTTTGAAGCGTAACTTTTAATACACCCTCGAATATCTGATGATTGAGGAAATGCTAGGGTTTATGGGAATAGGATGATTAGAGCTGGTCTAACAATCTCCTATTTCTTTTTTAGTCTTTATTTACTTATATATTTTTTAGTTTGTTGTGGATTGCATGCACTCGCCAGAGAGAGACAGAGAGGAAGTCAGGGGAGGAGTGAGGATTGCCATACCACAGTCCCTTCTCTTCCATTCTTGGGATTTGGAATACTCACACACACACACCTGGCATGAATTTCAAGCAGGCTATGTCTGGGACTCAAACTATGGTCAGCCACGTGGGATCCACCTGCCTTAACCTCCATCCCACTTGTTGGCCCACAGTTTCCTATTTATTAATAAGTGGATTGGTGTATAGTTTTACTGAAAGGACACAGACTGCTTACAACTTTGCAAAATAATTGGGTTCTTCCCCTGCATTTGGAATTATTTAGACCTTCATTTCTAAGGTTATTTCTCTAATATATAAACTTATAAAGTGATCCTAGGCCCAAATTTTAAAAATCATACATTTCTTCAAGTTGCAGTTTCTGTTTTATCGTAAGTTAAGTCTTTTCTAATCTTTACTGTGTACTTTTTAGCCTGCAGTCATTTAAATTTAAGATAGCCACAATAACGTCTTTCAGTCTCTCTCTCTGACAATGAAAGAGGGACAGAAAAAAATCTCTTTTGTGCAAATAGATTTTGCTTTCATTTTTAGGACTAGTGAACCTAAGGTTTCTGCTGAATTAACTCTCCTGTATTGGTATAATGATGTATTATGTGCTTTGATTATTATATGTAGCTAGTTATCTAGAAATTGAATTCTTTTACGTTTGTTGTAATCTGTCTGTTTATGTGTCTCTTTAATCAGCTGTTGTACTAAGGTGTTTAGCTTTGTTTTTCCATTCTGCATTCATTACCTCCTGAAGGTAAATACCGAATTAATTACAAGAAGATAAAAAGCTATAGTAGAAGGCCCAAGAGTATGATAATAAGAATAATTGCTACTTCTTTTAGGCAGAAAAATAGGTTGACAGCTACTTCTAATAGTCAGTCACTCACCTAGGTATTATTAATTAGCAGAACTAGTTCTTCTGACTTAAAAACCCAGTAAAAAAATGGTAAATCTTCAAAGCAAGAAAAGTACTGCCACAGTTCTCTATGTGAAAGATTTTCTGCCACAAAATGTAAATAATAGGGGAAAATTTGATGATGTGAGAAGTACTGTATAGATTTAAATTCCTTCCAAATACTAAATCTTTGGAAATACTTTACAGTAAAGAATGTTTAGTATGACTGTTATCATCTATCTTTAACCTCAATTAATGCATATATAGTATAGCCTATTAATTATTTATGAGTAATACTTTTCACTATACATAGATCTTTTTACAAGATCAGGGTTTTGTTTAGTTATAAAATGGTAATAATTACTACAGTAAAGTTCAGACCTCTTAGCATGACATTCAAGAACCCTCACCTGCCTTTCCAGTTCTCTCTCACCACATCTCTCCACGTGTGGTCAGTACTCCATGATTTGGTAGTGGATTCATTCATTTTGCTTCATTGTGATTCAGATGTAACAGGAACTGGGAAGGGCTCACCTTTCAAGCCAACTTTGTAGTTGGAGTGACCTTAGTGAATTCCTAGACTGTGCTGCCTCCCGCTTCTCTGGTTGAAAGGGGAAGAGAAAGACCTGGAGAACTGCCTGCTCTGCAGTCCCTTGCCAAGGTCCACACTCAGCTTGGCTCCTCTCCTTTAGCCTCGGGTGCGCAATCAAGACTAATGGACATTTGTGAGCTGGCTGTGGTTTGTTTAAAGAGTGGTTTCTATATGGCCTCCTTTCTACTCTCCACCGGTCCACTCAGCGTCACTGAGAGCTGACTGTATTTTTTTTTCCTTTTTTCATTTACTCATATTTCTCTTTACTTCAAATGTTCTTTCCCTTTCAAAATCCTGACGACCCCTTTATTCCCTGAGAGAGAATCATATCTTCATCTCATTCCCTTTACATATACTTACATGATCTGGGCTTCACTTAAACTGAGGTGAATGAATTAAAATGTACATTTAAGATGCAGGAATCACCTGATATTTGTTATAGTGGCATACTGACGAATCACTTTCATCTGCTTCACAGCAATGAAGCATAGGAATTACTTTTGTAAATATTTCTCAATGTTATATAAAATATTTTTACATTATATTCTATTCACAATGACTATTGTATTATGTTGTGGGTTATTAAACTATATATATTTAATATTGCTTGTTAAGCCCAGTTGAGGTAGCATGCCGATTGCTGCTGCTACTTGGCAGACTAAGGCCAGTTAGGAGACCCAGGTTCAATTCTTGGTCTACCCTGAAAAGTTGGGTGTGGCAGCCCATGCTCCTCAGAAGGTCAAGGCAGGAATATCAAGATACAGCAAGACCATATTTTAAAAACACCACATGCACAATATTGCTTTTTAGAAGTGAAGAACAAGTCTTTATTATCTGTAGACTAATGTAATAGAATCTGATTTTTTGCATACGAATGGAGCTTAATAGAGATCAAATTATTTGGAAAATGTATTCCTATACCATATTTTCATCTTTCAGAAACAGGTGGGTGAAATGAAACTACAACTTGAAACTGTCATCAAGGAAAATGAAAGGTAGCTCAATTAACTATTGGTTCTTTCTTTATTGTTGTCATGGGTATCTTATTTTTATTATTTTATATTTGCTATATATGCATATGTTTGTTAAGTATGGACTCTAGGGGCTTATTTTCTTTTCGAATGGGCTCCCTAACTTATTAGCTGTGTGATCGTGGACATGACATGTTACTTACTCTCTTTCTTCTTTAGCTTTCTCATCTGTTAATTGTCGAAAATAATACAACCTATTCCATACAGCTGACTGTAAGCAGTAAAGTGAGTGCTTGGAAAGGGGCACATAATAAGCACCTTATAAATATGAGCAATTGTTTCAACCCATGGCATGGTAGGTAAGGAAGCTGGATCCCACTTGGCCAATTACATGGTTCAAGTCCTGACAGCTTGAGAAACACACAAGGTGCATGTGTGTGCGTACATGCCCAAAATCCCAGAAAGAAGGAGAAATGGAGGAAAAGGGTTGCAGTGTGACCATTCACCATGAAGGTGGGGCACGTGGCTTTTTCACTTAACTTGTTTTCCTTTTTTTTTTTTTTTTTTTTAAAGGTTTTTGCCATAGGGCACATGTGCTCACCAGAGAGACAGAGAGAGGGAAGGTGAGAAATTACCCCAACCCCAGAGGGGACGACCATGCCAGGATCCTTCTCTATTCTCCTTTTAGGATTTGGGGCACACATGCACATGCACACACATTAGCATGATTTTCATGTCCAGAACTCAAAACACAGTCAGCTATGTGGGAGTCCAGCTTTTTTTTTTTGGAAAGGTTTTTGCATGCACTCGCCAGAAAGACAGAGAGAGAGAAAGTAAGAAATCACCCCCCAGGGGAGATGGCCACACCGCAATCCCTTCTCTATTCTCCTCTCGGGATCTTGGGCACGCATGCACATGCACATGACATGAGTTTAAGCCAGCGGGTCTGGGAGTCGCAGCCTGGTCAAACAGATGGCATAGCCATTATATCAATTTCTGGTCCCATGTGGGTTTTTTTTTTTTTTTTTCGTAGTTGTTTTAAAGAATGGAATGTGGGACCAGTAGATGGTATAATGCCTATGTCACTGGAATCCCACTGGATTCCTATGTAGTCGACCATGGATTGAGCCCCGGACCTGGTGGCTTAAACTCACGCTGGGCACTTGTGCGTGTGTACCCAAGATCCCGAGAAGGGAATGGAGGAGAAGGGATTGCGGCGTGGCCATCCCCCTGGGCGGTGACTTCTCACTTTCTGTCTCTCTATCGTTCTCTCTCTGATGAATGCACACACCATATAGCAAAAACCACTCCAAAAAAAAAAAAAGAATGTCACTAACATACTTTAATTGTAATATTAAAGTTGAAGGTAAGACTTTCAGAATTATGGTCCAACTTTATGTGACAATCTGAAAAATAAAGCTTCTAGTAGTCTTGGTTTCAAAACCAGCAACCATTTTATTCTACTCTATTTATTAACTAGAACTAACAAGAAATCAAGTGAATAATGAGGAAAAAATAATTTTGTAAAATTTAATGTAGCATTTTCATTTAATGGACTATATGAAATTATTGTATTTAATTTGATGGGGGAATGGCTCATTGTATCATTTAATAAGGTGAAATACCTGAACCTTACATTTTTAAAAATTAAAATCTCCCCAAGGACAGACCAAATTAGGCTAAAATTTACTATGATTAACATAATATATTTGAAAGTGTTGCAGAGTATAATTTTTTCATGGTCGTTAGCAGTGTTTAATGGTAGTTAAAAACTTCTAATTTTTTATTTTAAGTCTACTTAAAAATGATTCTGTGTAAAGAAATATTTTTCTTCCAAATGTTATTTCATTGACCCTCCCCAAGGCAGTAATTGTTACTAGGATGAATTTAGATTATTGTTATATTAACTGTTTGTTCCAAAGGTTGCACAGTGAATTAAAGGATGCTGTCGAAAAGCAATTGGAAGCCCTTCCCTTTGGCACAGAGATAGGAGATGATGCATATACAGATGACGAAACGGTCAAGAACCTTAGAGAACAGTTGCAACTAGCCAATCAGGTGAGTTACATATATTTTTCCAAATTATATCCTGAATTAGTGAGCTTTTAAAAATCTGTGTTATTATTCCTAAACAATAATAATAAAATTGTTAAAACTTGATCATTTTCGGTAATTTACCAAAAGTGTAACAAATAACAAAACGTGTAATAAATACACTATTTCTTATAACTATAGTGCCCAATATACATTTTAATTGAATCATAAAGCATTTAACATGATTTTTTGGTATATATTTTAATGTGAAAGGAAATTTTAAAAGAAAAATGTTATTAATTATTCTACTTCAGTAAATTTACATTTTTCACTTTTCTGTTTTCTTCTGTAACTAATTTCTTTAATTTTCAAAGATTATAGTATCATATATTTCTAAAAGGGTTCTTCTAGAATTAGTCTTTTTCTCCTTATTTTGTTTCTCTCATAGTAATTTTAATTTGGAGGATGAAATATATGTGTATGTATACTTACAGAGATACACAGACGCCCTGTTTTTCGATATTGTAAATTTTTATGGATTTACACATAAGGGAATTTTATCTTAATTTATTATTTTATAACCCAGTTTTATATCTTATATGGATTAGGATCCCTGTCTTCTACTTTCTAGCTATATGATCACAGAAAAAAAAAAATATCTTTGTGACTCAGGTTTTTTATTTATAAATGGAGATTTGAAATTCTGGATTACTATTTGATTTTATAATTATTTGTAAAAAGTCATAGTTTTATTCCTTAGAAATTTGATTTTGGAATTCTTACTTATGAACACTTGATTTTGGAATTCTTACTTATGAACACGATATTTTAGATAAATCAGAAAGGCTATATATTTCACTTGATAAGGAACATGTATTCAACACTGAATTTTTTAAAATTCTTATTAATTTTTAAAGAATTATTTATTTATTTTTTAACATTTTTTGTGAAGGCATTTGTGCTCACCAGAGAGAGAGAGAGAGAGAGAGAGAGAGAGAGGGCAGTAAGAAAGCTGTCTGCCAGTTCTGGGATGCGAACCATGACTGACCATGTGGGAGTCTAGCTCCTTAACTACCACACTATCAGCTGGCCCCAACGTGGAAATTTTAAAAAATGTGTAAATGGATGAAGTTTAAAAGGTAATTGGGGAGAAAATGCTGGGGAAACTCTGGGAGACATTGGAGTAGGCAAAGACTTCTTAAATAAGACTCCCAAAGCACAGGCAATAATCCCTAAAATAGACAAGTGGGACTATATTAGACTAAGAAGTTTCTGCACAGCAAAGGACACAGTAACAAGTGTGAACCGACAACCCTCAGAATGGGAAAATATTTTTGTTAAATATGCCTCAGACAAGGGACTGATAACCAGAATACACAGGGAACTCAAGTACCTTATGTGAAAAAAAATGATCAACCCAATTAAAAGATGGGAAAATGAGCTGAACAAAAATCTCTCTAAGGAAGACATACAAACGGCCAAAAAGCATATGAGGAAATGCTCGACATCTCTCATCATAGGGGAGAAGCAGATAAAAACCACAATGAGGTACCACCTAACCCCTGTCAGAATGGCAAAGATTAAGAATATAAAAAGTGATAAGTGTTGGCGGGGATGTGGTGAAAAGGGAACCCTCCTACACTGTTGGTGGGAATGTAAACTAGTTCAACCACTGTGGAGAACAATATGGAGGTTCCTCAAAGATCTACAAATAGAACTACCATTTGATCCAGCAATCCCACTTCTGGGTATTTACCCAAAAGACAGGAGAACGCTCAGTCAGAAAAGTGCTTGCACATCCATGTTTATTGCAGCATTATTCACAATTGCCAAGACATGGAACCAACCTAAATGTCCACAAACCGATGAATGGATTGGAAAAGTGTGGTATATATACTCCATGGAATACTACTCAGCCATAAAAAATAACAAGACCCTGGAATTTGATAGAAAGTGGTCAGATATGGAGGATCTATTGCTGAGTAAAGTAAGCCAGGCTATGAAAGAAAGATATTGTATGTATCCACTCAATATATACCGACTATCCGCACTCTATGGTAGAGAGCAAAAAATTGGAGGACATAAAAGCAGTGAAGGTACTTAACGAGAATAGGACAGTGTGGGATGGGGGAGGTGAAAAGAGGATAGAGAAAGATAGCAAGAGAACAATAAAAAGGCAGGACCTTAGTGAAAAGCAGATATGGCTTATTACCTGTTGATGATGACATGTATAGTATTCTCAACTAGATTGGTCTGAGAAGTATTTCATGATGGGTAAAGTCTTTTTACAAGCAAAATGAGAAATAGTGATTGACTGTTTTAAAAAATAATTACAATAATAATAATTATAATTGGGAAAATCATAGAAAAGATATTGAATGTTGAAGCTGGGAGATTAATGTCTCTGTATTGACTGACATGCATAGCATTCCCTTTTGAAAAAGCAATGTAATACACTGTAAAGTTATATGTAATCCAATGTAATATAAAGAAGATTATGATGATAATAAAAATTTAAAAAATAAAAATTAAGAAAAAAAGATAATTGGTGGGGGGGGGAGTGCAGTTGGCATGGTGGTGGGGCAACTGGACTCCCACATGGCTGACCGTGATTCAAGTCCCAGACCTGGCAGCTTGCTTTCTCACCTTCCTCCTCTCTCTGCCTCTCTCTGGTCAACTTCAAAATAAAATAATGACAATTAATAAAATTAAGTAAAATAAGTCTGAAAAAAAGATGAGAGGAAAAAAATGATGAGGAAAGCATGGTCTTTGTTGTAGACTAGGAAATATTTATATTCATTTGTTTAGAAGTAAGTGGAAATTAATTGAGACTTATAGTTGCTTTTAACCAGATTTTTTTTTTATTTATTCATTCATTTATTTTTTAATTTGGCCAGAAAGAGACACAGAAAGAGAGAGAGAAAGTGAGAAAGGAAACCACCAGGTCCGGGACTCGAACTGTGGTAGGCCATGTTGGAGTGTCCAGCACCTTAACCACCATGCCACCTGCTGGTCCCTGCTTTTAACCAGATATTAAATGTGTTTTTCAAAAGCTGTGACTCACTGTGCATTTTTAATTACTTCTAAAATGTTAAGAAATTCATAAAACAATAATGTCAAATGTTACTTCTGCCTATAACATATGCATATATGTTTATAAATTAATTTGTTTTTAAAGATCTGATAAAACACATACAGATGTATTATAATCCATTACTAGATTGAGAAACCTTTATTTCATACATGAAAGTTATCAATAGATGAGCCCAAACTGAATCGATAAAAACTTTAGTTTTAAGTACAAAATTGAGAGAAGGAATTCCTTATTATATTACTCTTTATCAAAATAATAAGGTTATTATGCTTAACTGACTATTCATCATATTTATTCATTCTACAAATATTTCTTCAGTGGCTATTGTATGATTTGGGGGCAGGGGGTTACTAAAGGCATGTACACTCACTAGAGAGAGACAGGGAGAGGGAAAGTGAAAAATCACACACACACCCCCCAGGGCATATGGTCACATCAGCAATGCCTTCTCCACCAATCTCCTTTTGGGATTTTGGACATGCGTACACATGTGCCCAGTGTGATTTTCAAGCTGCAGGTTCCGGGATACAAGCTGCAGTCAGCCATGTGGGAGTCCAGTGTCTTAACACCACACCACCTGATGGTCCCCATGTGCTAAATATTAATATTTAAGGGGACAGTGGAGAATATTAACTTGTACTTTCATGGAACATAATACATTTTGGAAGAAGTATAATGAGCAGTTGAGTTCTTGTCAAACTTCCTAAGTTTGGTACTCATCCTATTTTCTAACTGTATTATCTAGACAAACTTCTTTGTGCCTCACTTTTTTCACTTTTGTATGGGGATTATGGTATTTCTTATGGAGTTCTTCAAGACCATAAAGCACTTAGTCTAATGCCTAGCACATATATAAGTTAATAAATTGACCTATTCTTTTGTCATCTTTATCATTACTGAACAGCAAGACAGAAAAATAATTAAAATTATGTGCAAAAGGTGCTGTATAGAGCAAATATATTGCTTTAGTAGCTAACAGCAATTGTACATTAAGTTTTTAATAAAATTTTCTATTTGGGGACCAGCAGTTAGTGTAATGGCTATGTTGCTGGACTCCCATGTAGTCAACCGCGGTTCATGTCACGGACCCAGTGGCTTAAAACTCACACCAGGCGCGTGTGCGTGCGTGCCCAAGATCCCGAGAGAACAGAGGAGAAGGGATTGCGGCATGGCCATCCCCCCGGGGGGTGATTTCTCGCTTTCTGTCTCTCTGTCTCTCTCTGTCTGTCTGGCGAGCTCACGTGCCCTATAGCAAAAACCTCTCCAAAAAAAAAAGAATTTTCTATTTGGACTATTTTGTTTTACAGTACTGTAATTTATAAAAATCTTTCTGGAAAACAGTGTGTCATATAAAGCCTTAGAAATGTTGGTATTCTTTGTCCAAATAACTAGATAATGACATAGATTTTAGGAATTTATTTAAGAAACTGTGTAAAGAGACTCTTGATCATTTAATGAGTTATCAAATGTTTTTACTTTATAGGAAAAGACTCAGGCTGTGGAACTCTGGCAGACTGTTTCTCAGGAGCTGGACAGATTGCAGAAACTTTACCAGGAACATATGACTGAGGCCCAGATTCATGTCATTGAAAGTAAAAAACAAAAGGTAATCATGGATTTTATGGTTTTCCCATATATCAGTAAGAAATTGCATTCCAGGTTCTAGACCCAGCCAGGTGCTTAGTGGTATTGCAGGACGGTGGTGCTGGAGACCACATGGCTGACTGCAGTTTGAATCCCTGGCTCAGTGGACTTGAAGCACTTTGGGCACACATACAAGCAGATGAGATTCCAGGTGGTACCTCTCTGTCTCTCTCCTTCTCTCAGAAATATAATAATAATAATAATAATGATGATGATGAAAAAGAAATTGCATTCTGAAGAAACTGTTTTGGAAAAAAATCACCTGAGTCTTTATGTTATTTGCATTACTAATAAATAGATTTTTGATAACTGGAAACTTCACAAGATCTTCTATTCCATAGGATGTCTCCATTTGTGCCTACGTTATTCTTCATTAGTTCTTTTACTGTTAGGTGCATGGAACATAAAGGAGAAATCCCAGTTCTGACCTCTTTTCGATTTATTTTGAGAGGTGGCTATTTAAATGAGTTGGTTATCATACCTCTTCAATTCTTGTTTATAGACTTTTCAAAATCTAGTTTATAAAAATTTTTATTATCATTTTAAGTGGGAATATGTTTTTTGAGTTTTGAAACAGTACTAATGGACTGAGTTCTAGAAAAAATGGTTTTACATAAAACTTAAATATCTAAATTTGTTTCAACATTGCCAACATTTTTAATTTTTGAGTCATTTGAAATTTTTCTTTGTCTTCAGTTATTTGTACAGTAATAGAAAGTACACCATCAATTTCATCTAAATTTAGCAATAATGATTTTAGATTTGGTGCTAGTTTAATTTTAAATATAGGTTGCAAACAAAATGCTATTTATATATTCCCCTACTTTCTCCCTGTAGGATCAGCTGACCAATTTTCAACAACTTACCAAGAGACTTCATGTTACTAATGAGAACATAGAAATGGTAAGTGAAAATGTCCGTTCAGTGTACTTGTTTATGTAGACTAAAAACTAAAACTAGTGACTATAGTCATCTTTATTTATGCTAATATAATTTAAGACAACAACCAAAACATTGTCTCATGTAGTTAAAATAGATAGGCAGTATTCTTTTTTTCTTTCCTATTCAGTAGCATGACAGTTCACAGTACCTTTTGGATGTTCTGCTTCTTACCTTTTTATTCTCTTACTTTTTTTTTTCCTTCTTGGAATTTTATTTTCACCTCATTGTTGAGTAATAGGATTATGACACCTCAGACAATTCCCCTCTTTTTCATTCTTCATTCTTGCTTAGTTATCCTGCTAATTCTTGTTAGCACCTAATAAAAATGTTTTTGGTTAAGAGTAGAGTTGTATCATCAAAAGTAAGTTATCCAGTTTTATTCTACTTTATATTTTTTCTGTTTTACCTATGTAAAAAGTTATTTGACAAATCTCTCCCTATTCTACTTTTTTAAAAGAATTATTTTATTTAAATTGATTTATTATGATTTTTTTTTTAATATTTCCAGAGAGAGAGGCAGACAGAGAAGAAAAGTGAGAAAGCAAGCTTCCAGATCCAGGACTCAAACCACAGTCACCCATGTGGGAATCCAGTACCTTTAACCATGCTACCTGCAGAACCCCCATTCTGTTTCTTTTTTTTTTGTTTTTGTGGAGAGGTTTTTGCTATAGGGCGCATGCACTCGCCAGACAGACAGAGAGAGACAGAGAGACAGAAAGCAAGAAATCACCCCCCATGATGGGGCGGCCATGCCGCAACCCTTTCTCCTCCATTCTTCTCTCTGGATTTTGGGCACGCATGCACACGCGCCCGGCATGACTTTAAGCCACTGGGTCTGGGACTCGAACCGCAGTTGACTAAGTGGGAGTCCAGCGGCATAGCCATTACGCTAACTGCTGGTCCCCCCCATTCTGTTTTTTGATAATATATTTCTAATATAGTTTTTAAGTACTAGTAAAGCACTAGTAAATGAATATAGGAATATTCATTTCTATATTTAAGAAACTATGGGTATAATAAATGTGATAAAGGAGTAAATAACATGAAAAAAAGACAGTATTATAAAAAGCAAAGAAAATACTATATAGGTGGTTAAAATAAAAATGTTTAAGAAAATATTTTAAACGAGTGTTTTTTATTGTATATAATAGATATCAAATAAGACTAATAAGTGTGAAGGTAACAAGATAAGTGATTGTAAAGGTCTTGTACATATCATGAGAGCAAGTTTGGGTCAAGCTCAAACTTGAAGAATTTCAAGGGGCTGGCAGGTGGCATGGTGGTTAAGATTGTGGACTCCCACGTGGCAGACCACAGTTTGAGTCCTGGACCTGGCAACTTCCTTTCTCTCTGTACTTTCAATCTCACTGTTTCTCTCATCAAATTAAAAAATAATAAATGAAGTTAAGTAAATAATAGTTTAAAAAAGGAGGGGGCTCTCAAGGTGCCTGCAGGTGACATAGTAGTTAAGGTACTAGACTCCCAAATGACTGACCGCAGTTCAAGTCCTGGACCTTGGAGGTTTTAAACTCCTACTGGGCATTTGTGTATGTGTGCCCCAAATCTCAAGAGACGAATGGAGAAGGGTTGTGGCCATCCCCCCGGGGGGTAATTTCTCACTTTCTGTTTCTCTGTCTCTGTCCATCTGTCTCTGTCCATAATCCCAACTGGCTAGAAAGATTGGGTGAGGGATCGCATCATGAGACTTTATCTCCCCATACATACCATCTGATCAAAAAGAGACTTCCTAGCTCCTAGTTTCACACAGGGGAGGGAAGGGATTTGTACTCACGTCCAATGCCCTTACTTTTCTCAGGAGGCTCTCCAGAGAACTGGCTTCTGTCTTGCCAGTCTTAGAGCTTGGAAAGACCTAGCACAATCATCCCAGGGAAGAATGGAAGCATTGCTTTGTAGTGATAGATGCCATTGATCCTATGCCCTATTCGGCAAACAGTGAGTGGATGAAAAAAAATCAATACTTCTCCCTGGGGAGGGAAACTGTTGGTCCATGTGTTCAGTACCCCAGCTTATTTGGGGTTGCCCAGAGAGCTAGCTATGTCTTGTTAGTCTTGAAGCTTTGATAGGTCTAACATAGTCTAGCATTCAGGGGAAAATGGAAATAGTGGCTTGGGCTGATATTTGCCATAGCTCTTCATTCCCTGGCTTAGTACAGAGCAACCAAACAAAAACCATAGTTGCCAACATCTTTCTGGAGAGGGAAAAAATGGATAGAGGTACCCTGAGTGTCTAGTTGGCTTATTGGTGGGAGCCTTCTCTTGTAAAAGGCCAAGTTAGTGTAGACTGGGAAAAGCATCTGCCTTTCTCCAGTGCACAGATACCAACACAGAGAGGCAAGGTAAAATGAAGAACCAGCCAAAGATGTTCCAAGCACAGAAGCAAAATAAATCTCCAGAAACCAATTCTAATGAAAAAGAGTTTGAATTTACCTGATAGAAGTTTAAAACAACTCTCATAAAGATATTCAGCAAGGTCAAGAGAATAATGCATGAACAAAGTGAGATTTTCAACTACAAGAAAATATTAAAAAGTATCTGACAGAAATCTTGGAGCTGAAGAATACAATAACAGAACTAAAAAAAAAAATCACTTCAGGAGTTCAACAGCAGATAAGATCAAGAAGAAGAAAAGATCAGAAAACTCAAAGACAGGTCAGTGGAAATATTGAACTCAGAAGAACAAAAAGAATAAAAAATAGTGGAGAAAGTTTAAGAGAATTATGGGACACTATTAAGTGGAACCATGTACACATTATGGAAGCTCAAGAAGGAACAGAGAAAAGGGACCAGAAAACTTACTTAAAGAAATAATGGCTTCCCTTCAAATCAAAGGAAAGAAATAGACATACACTAGCAGAAACCCAGAGGACACTAAATCTGATGAATCTAAAGTGAACCTAAAGAAATTCATACCAAGAAACATTGTATCAAGTTGTCAGAATATTTTGAAAAGAGTAAGTCAAGAACACTTATCCCATACAAGGAAGCCCATATATGCTTAGCAGGTTTTTCAGCAGAATCCTTAGAGACCACAGGGGTAGGATATACTTTCAGTATTTAAAATGCTGAAAGGAAAAAAATATATATATATTGCCAACCAGTAATTCTAGACTGCAAAATTCTCGTTCAAAAATGGAGAGAGAGAGGGAACCAGCAGTTAGCGTAATGGCTATGTCGCTGGACTCCCACGTAGTCGACCACGGTTCGTGTCCCGGACCCGGTGGCTTAAAACTCACGCCGGGTGTGTGTGCGTGCGTGCCCAAGATCCCGAGAGGAGAATGGAGGAGAAGGGATTGCGGCGTGACCATCCCCCCCGGGGGGTGATTTCTCGCTTTCTGTCTCTATGTCTCTCTCTCTCTCTGTCTGTCTGGCAAGCGCACGCGCCCTACAGTGAAAATCTCTCCAAAAAAAAAAGAAAAAAAGAAAAAAAGAAAAATGGAGAGAGAGAGAGACGAGCAGATAACATAATGGATATGTCACTGGACTCCCACATGGTCGACCACAGTTCGAGTCCCAGACCTAGTGGCTTAAAACACACCGAGAAGGACCAGCAGTTGGCATAATGACTATGTTGCTGGACTCCCATGTAGTTGACTGCAGTTCGAGTCCCAGACCTGGTGGCTTACGCTGGGCACGTGTGCGTGTGTACTGGAAGAGAAGGGATTGCAATGTGGCCATCCCCCCGTGGGGTGATTTCTCACTTTCTGTCTCTATGTCTCTCTCTGTCTATCTGGCGAGCGCACGCGCCCTATAGCGAAAA